GAATGTTTGCCCCAAATTCCTATGTGGCACATTTTTCATTCTATTCCCCTGTCCTCATTTACTCTCTTGCTTTTATCATAATTTCACACTTATGTGTTATTCTTTCTCGACTAACTCCGTTCAAATCGCGTCCACTTCACATAGTTTTGCTCCCGGTTTCCTATCGTGCTTCATATTGCTCACTGTCAGACGAACACTTTTGACGCACACGCATTCATTCAACACCGGCTTGAGCCTTGTATGATTCTACTGACTAATCAATTCATATTTATCAATGCCTGAAGCGGTCAATATTGAACAGAAAGTTAATCGCGTTTTTCACCGAGTTCTTTTACAACTGAGCAGAATACAAAATACCAGATTCCACGAGATCAGCTCTTCATTCAAAGTCTTATCCTAAATCGGATGTTAAGTCCACATTGGTGCTTACCAAACAAATAGTCTGTTGTATTGATGTCCACTGCATCGAACTGTGTTTTATTCGTCACTAAACTGAATCTCCGATCTTTCTGTGTCTGACGTTGGACCCACTCGCTTAGCAAATCTTTCCCGTCTTTGCGTTTGCCGATTTTTGTTGAGGAATACTTTGTGGGCGGTCCGTGAAACATCTCAGTACCACCACCGAGAACCACATTGAAGTCGATCCCATTCTCGATCAGTTGTTGGGCAATGTCCAGACAATGTTGGCTTTTTTCCTTTAGGTTTTTCTGTGCAGAAGGATCTCTAAAACCGGATAAGAGCATCAGAAAATTAAAGAGCACAAATTTTGATGGTTGTTTATCTGATCAAATTGTCAATTCCATTCAGTAGTGGTTTTATGCTCCCCGACGTTGGAAGAAAATCAACAAAGCCATTCAAAGTAAAACTGAAATTAGTAGATTTCGTGCTTGTCACTGAAGCAAACCCCTTGTGTGATTCTGTGGAAACTTTCTTTCTCCTTGTCTACGAGTAGACGTGTGAGATATGACAAAACAGAATTTACACGATATAGCACAACCCGTCTATGCGAGCTTGTTACAAGTATTGGTCCTCCCTCATCTCAACACTAGTCTCCAGGGTTATGAATCGAGTGGGAACTTTCACAACCTGATTATCAGTCGCATGAGGGTAACGGAGGATTTTATTTTTTATTTGCATGATGAATTTATCGCGTAGACGAGGCGTGAGCTGAAAAACTGGGATTCACTGGACAGCTGTTTTGATCTTGTTGGGTCTCATCCGTGCAGTGCGAATCCATCGACCCTACTGGGGATCGTGAACCGGAGACCTCACAGATAGAACGCAAGCATACTACCCACTCGGCCACCGAAAAAGCTGTCCAGTGTTTCCGAGCTTTTCACCTCACGCCTCATTTACACGATGAATTCATCATGCAAACAAAAAATAAAATCATTCATTACTCTCTTAAAACAGAATTACCATATAAAGAGACAAGTGTGTGGATGATGTCGATACAGTTTTTGAAAGGTCGTAGTCTGATGCGTAGTGAGCCTTTGACGGTACTTTGACAATACGAGTTTCACATGCTTGTCCACGATAGAGTTTCCAAGTTTAACTCGAGCGATGCCACATTTAGAGGTCTCTTGTCAATAAACCGGTATTTATTGAACATACAGTAAAATCATTAGGGAGCAGTACAACTAACTAGTGGGAGAGTATGCATGCATTCACAAACCTAAGAATCATATTGTGCGGAATAGAAAGTATCCCTTATTGGAGTGAGAAATCCGAAGGCTTTCTAACCTTACTCAATGTGTCCTGAGCCTGCAGTGTCCATTCTACTGTGTGTGATTGTGTGAAGCCAAGATATTTCACCATTGTTACTGTCCATATGATTAGTGGAGAGGATGGGGAACCTATCTGTGAGAGCTGAATATGATTCGTCGACCAACAGGGAAAACAAAACATGCTGACATTTTGAGGCATTCAGTGCGACAAAAACGGGACAAGAACCAACTGACGACGTCGTTTAGTTTGCTTTGAATTTCAGAAGTCTCTTCAGGGGTGGATGTTTTTCATCGTAAAACAACATATTTGCACAGCCAACCAATGTAGAAGAAATGGGAAATTGTTTGACATAGAATGAAATGAAAAACGTGGTCTAAGTTGTGGAAAACCAGAAGTAATCGGGTGAGTAAAAGATTTCTTGCTCGTACAGGCATATGAACTGCCTTCTGTGCGTGAACTAATCGTGAATCAATCCGCAAACGTTTGCATTGACACAATTGTCGGTAATCAGGTTGAGCAATACCGATCGATCAAGACTGCTGAAAGCGTTTTTGTAGTCTAAGAACCCCACTCTGATAGTCTTACAAGTCCTTATCTGGAGCCGAAAGTATTGAGTGAACAAGGTGAGTAACGGCAGCAATAGTTGAACGCGAACAGCGATGTGCGATATATCATCCTCGGCAGACTAAGTGGCAATCACCGGTAGTAACCCTATGTGGAGTAATTTGAGCAGGACTGACGCACAGGTGATAGGACGGTACTTTACAGATTTATTTTGGAGGACGGGAGTTATCTAAGCCAGTCTCCAAGTGCCAGGAATTTTTCCGCTTATCATTGAATATGTTAGATAGTGGGACTGAAAGGTTGTCGAAACGGACCTGGATTACCACGGGTGATAGTTCATCCGAACCAAATGCTTTATTCATCTTCGTTTTCTGTAGGTGTTGGAGGACCGTACCCGGATTCGATAGTTGGTCGCGGTGTAGAGTTGACCCAGTCTGGCAGGGCTGTGTACTGTGAAATTAAACTAGACTCTGAATTTAGTCTTTCAACGTCGACAGTTTGCCTTTTGTGCTTATTGGTACTGTCACACAGGTGTTTGGTAGCCCTCCACATGTCACGACGACTGATGTTTTACAGGATGCTGTTTGTGTACAAAATAGTAAGCCGCTTAACATGGGTTCTCTGTCCTTGTTTATGCTCCTGTTGTTTCCCCGTGTCTAGCTGTTTTAATGACAACGAAAAGGATCTATCTTTATGGATGAAGACCATATCAGGCGGGCAGCACTGGTTAAAACAAAAATGAAGGCAATCCGTAGCATGTTCACAGAGGACAGAAGGATTCTAATTTGGAAACACCAAAAAAAATACAGTTGCGCAACCAAAGATCTTAACCTTTGTAGGTTTTCCAATGAACAATAACTTTGACTCATTATCTTTATTGAGATCCGAGATATGCATTCCGCTTTTTCAATATCCAATGGATAATTGAGAAATTGCTGAGTGATTCCCTCTTTTGAATCATTATCTTGCATAGTCTTCTTAAAACTGCAATCGATAAATTTTTCTATGTAAAGTCGAATACAATTTCAAGGTCAGAAATACTCAGGGGGAACACGTTTATGGGCTTTGAAAAATTGCTGTTTATTTATGAAAACACATTCTGGTTGTGCATCAAATCGGTTGGAAAAATGACCGGTGCAATCAATCACAGTTTGAGAACAGATCCTTTGGACCAAGCTCTCATCATTTCAGTACACTTTTCGGATAGGTCTTGAAAACCGCGAAATTAACACGCGCTTTATTATTCTATTGTTGACAGCCACAATTATTGGATGGGCATGTCCAACGGTTCTCGGGGTATGCAATTTATACGGCACTGCTTGTGAAAAGTTAAATCACAGATTATCGGTATCTCCGATTCAATCTAACACCTCCGAATGCATGTGTGTGTGAGAGTGTAATGCAAAACCGGTTCCGGATGACGCAACTATCTATTGGCCTAATGCCACAAATGTAGTTTGTTTATTTCTTGCCCAAAAATTAATCCATTATTGTTCAAGAAAAAAGGCTATGTGAACTGCATCCTGTGCCTAATTTGAAGATATTTCCAATACCAAACAATCAGACCTTTATGATTAGGTCTTCGAAAGATGGCACAGGATCGCATTACATATTTTTTACTTATTCCTTTCAAATTTCCTGAGATCTAAATTTTTTTGGGGAAACGCTAGAACACCTAAACGGCAGCTTCCGCGAGGTGCACATAAGTTGACGGGGTTCAAATATTTGGCTCCCGAGTCAATGGGCTGCTGATCAGTGTCGCTCATTCCCGTGTGTCTTCACCACATTGGCAAAGACATCATTTCTACCCTTCAAGTACCCAACAATCAAAATTACTATTGTGACTATGTATCCTAAATGGAATGTGATACCTCTCTATCTATCTATTATACCAACTGTGATTGAAGTACCGTATTGAGGTCTGTCAAAAGATGTCATAGATTTTATGATAGTTATGCAATTTTTTGGTAGAAATATGGTAGTAAGTGGGGATTCCGTGCGTCATACATAGTTCATTCAGTTCCATACCGAACAAACCGGGGCCAGTCTTCATAGGAGAAACAAACAAAATGAACAATTAACCTTGCCTGAGAAGCTCATTCGGTGCGGACTCCGGTGAGTTCTAAGCAAAACCTGTCGGGGCCATCAGCTTACATGCCAACCGGTGGATGCCACACATGCCTCTGTAAGTTGGATGGGTAATTCGAATGTGAAAAGATCGGTAATATCGGTGTGGCCTCGTAGCTCAGCTGGTAGAGCGTGCGCTGCACAAAAGCGTGGGCGATGTCCATGCGTGGGTTCGAATACCACCGAGCTTACTGAACTACTCACAATCGACATAAAAACTTCAAATCTGCCAAACTACAATCTTAAAATGAGATAACTCACATATAAGCCTCCCATTGACGACTTGGTGAAATTGCATAGGTTGCTGCAGGAGTGGCGTGTGTGATTCGAGTAGTGGTCACAATGCCGGTGGATAAACCTTGTTTCTGAGCCAGGAGCAAAATGGATTGGGCGTAATGGGTCTGATTGATTACGTCACAGCTGCAACAGCCTGCGCCCTTCGTCAGTCCGAGTGTGTAGTGTATTCCTTTGGTGCCTAAAATCAGGGACACATCGACCAGACATTGGACAATTTCAGTTCGTAGACAATCACAACCCGATAGGTGCGCTGTTATTCAGAGAGTTAAATGAAAACGAAAATTTCTGGCATATTTTTAAAGTCTGTGTGCTACGGGCGGAATGTCTGATCAGCGAGAGCCGAACTAAGTTGAAATTTCTAACAGATCAAGAGTAGACACAGTGGATCAGAATGCTCATCAATACTGACCGACAACGCTTGGAGTCGACCTGAAACTTTCAAATTACCAGTATGGTTAGCATTGAATGGCACATTGCTCAACAAACCATTTGAGATTGTCTGAAATAAACCGAAACACTGAGGTGCTGGATAGTAAAAGCTTGAGGTCTCTTCAAGCGCATGCATGCATCGGTAAACACAGCCTAAATTGTGTAAACTAATGCAAACTTCTAAGCTAGTTCACTGTGAATCTTTCAGACGGTATAGTTTTGTTGGAAACAGACATAAAGGTTCGCTTTAGTCTCTCCGTTTTCTTTGTCCTTATAGTGAAGAGAAATGATTAACTTTGTGCAGAATGTGTGTGTGTGTGTGTGTGTGTGGAAAACCTCGTGATTGATGAACAGCCGAATTGCTGTGCCATGCTCGCTCAAAGTGATCATGGAATCCATTGAAAAGCATTCAGCTAGTAAGTGTATGCGTGTAAATTTACAATTCTCTATTCACTTTACGCAACAAATTTGTTCGTTTGAAAAGCAAGGGAAACAGGAAAGGAGAGAGGTGACATTTTTGTTATTGTTTTTTTGTTATTATTTCCCACCAGACGTGCGAATTGATCGACCCAGCTCAGGATCAAAATGAACGGAAGTGTACCATAGACTACCGAACGGATACTCATTTTGTGTTACGCTTTAGCTATACCTGGTTCATATTACTAATAACCACCAGGGTTTGGATTCAAGTGGGTAAAATTTCGAGCCCGACCAAATGAAAGTAATTTACTAAAATCGATATCATGATCTTTTCACCGATATCAACAATTTATGTAAATCAGTGTGGATCGAGAACCGGCATATATCATTCTACTTAAGCGGGAAAATATTGATCAAGTGTATATAATCACCCATCAGATACGCAAATCTCCTCTCGATTCACGCAATCCCTATTCACATTGCAGAGCATAGCATCGAAACAGATCTGGATTCAAATTCTATCCAAAGCCGAGGTAGTTTTAATTCCATTTTATAAACTCATTTAATCTACCACTCTATCACCCAGATTGCTGAAAAATCTTCTAAGTACTGTACAGTTGTGTCACACTTAACAGAAATCAATAAATATTTATCGATTTTTTATTGGATAAACTTAAGGCACAGTTTGGTACGCGTTCCTTCGAATTACTTGAGATGGTCTCAGCTTTTGATATGACGTCTTAATTATCTAATATGGCATTCATCGCCAAACGTTGACCATTTCCTCTGTAACCTTGCACTCTGACTAGACAGTTAATGCCCAACTACTGAGCACGTTAGCTAATTTATTTGTTTCATGGCCGAAAAAATAAATAAAAAACGAATAGCAACTGATATCAACTGGTGTCACTGAACAACCTACAAACTTTGTGAGTACAAATCGGAGTAGATTTAGCAAGAAAATCCTGTGTTTATTTCGGTTGCTTAATGTGAACTGGGTTCGTTACTTCTTAATCATTAAATAAGCGCATCATACAGGCAGACGCATACGTCAACACGAATCACGCAATACAAATACTCAGAGCTGACTTATTCTGATCCAATCGAATCATGTTTCTCACTGAACTTATTTTCTCATCCACACCACAGTTGGTTCACACTGTATTTCACAAATTGATGAACGATGAAAAATGAGCTTAGAAGATGGAATGATATTGTACAGTTAGTGAGGTAAAAGGAGGGAGGCCACCTCCCCGGCTTATTGGTATTACTGGGTGACAATCACTAAAAACCTCCGGAAGCGGACAGAGAAAGGTATACTGTCTCGAGGGTTGATAAATATCTCGAATGTGGGTACCATGGGAAAAGTGTGCGATTATCTCGTGGTATGCACGATACAAGAAGTGCGGTAAAGTTGTACGTATTTTTTTTCCTGATCGATTTACTCCGATCTATTGTGTGTTTAATCCCAGCATACATAGGCGTGAAATCAATGTTTTTCCCCGAATCTATCATCAATCTATTTGTGCACTATCTGTGCCCCTGAAATCGATCGAGAATACATCCATCCCCAGGTAAATCAATTTAAAAAGAATACTTATACTTACAACCGGGGTATAAACCCAAGATTTATAACCGTGTTACAGTTCTAGAACATTGACTATAAAATTTCGGCCCCCGAAATTGAACCCGATGCCGAAGTTGTCTTATAAAACGGACATGCTAATGAGACCAGCATCCTTGTCATGAACACATGAAGGGCGATCGAGAGAGAGAGAGAGAGAAAGAGAGCGAAAAGGGATCGGGGATAACAAGTGTTCAGTTGATGCATACATATAAACATTGAATGTAGTAGTAGTAGTAGTGGTAGTAGTAGTAGTAGTTGCTGTTGTTGTTGTTGTTGCTCAAAATTGGGTTATTCTAACCAATGCTAGTCATTATATGTGGTTAAATTGCCGGTTAGCGTGAAATGGAACATGAAATTGGTTTACGTCGAAAATTCATCAATGGTCAATGGGACCAGGTGAATTCAGTTTGCCTCGTAAATGATTAACAAAACCCATTTACATAGACCATAGTCCCGGTCCAGCGTGTGGTGGAGTGAACGAAAGTGTAATTAACGGGCGAACGGGAAACAGAATCATCCATAATGACCTTCGAGTTGTCAGTTTAACGTACGTGGCCAAAAATTTGAATAATTTGACACACAACATGACCCAATGGCAGTCGTAGACATTCGAACTGAAATGGATTGAGTATCTGTCAGAATCGGATAGGTTTCAAACGGAAAGAGATCCCAATGGCTATGACGAACCCAATGCCGTGGCGAACGAAAAGTACAACGGATGAAACTGAATGCGATTTGATGAACTAGCTAAAAAGGAGGGAGATAAATCTTGGCTTTCTAACTGCCGATTTTCATTGTTCTATTGATTATCAACAGGTGTGAAACATGGAAACATCAGGCAACGGAAAATGCCTCTGGGAGAATGCATTGTTTACAAGCGAAACAACAAACAAAAAAATACTAAAAGTCTCATCACCCTCAAAAAAAACATGCTCATATTAGTCAATCCATTAACCTTAAAACGTGTCTACAGTTCACTCACTGATTAGCCGAGTATGTATTTTTAACCGAACTGTACCGAATAGATATGATGTTCATTGTCTATTCCCATCGTGACATTAGGAAAACACTGTGGCAAACAAAGCTTATTTTTGATAACTTCCTCTTCGGGCTAATAAAGTTATGTACACACTTCAAAACTGTAAACTTGGTGCAATGGTCTGATGTGATGAATATGATTGGTTGATTGCCATTTTGTAATGTGTGATTTTGAAGCGAAACGGCAGAGTTTTTTGTCGTTGCTCTTGTGTGGTTCGGATATGTTCACAGTCGGTGGATAGAGTGAACTGTTCCATTTCCAATCTGCACCGTTAAGTCAGCCATTTCGGTTAACTGTGTCAGGTTGCGACCAGGATAAGAGAATTGACGGAACATATCGTTGTTGAGAACCAACGGTTGGATGGAGTAGGCCAATAGTCACCTCCTCAATTGTAGCAAAGTGCCGTTGAAAACTGCTTTGGATGGGTTTTCTGGTACTTTGTAGATCATCTTGAATGCGTCCTCGTTTGCTTACTAACTCGTGTCAGCAAGAACTTCTACCACTCCGTTTTTAATCGTTTTCCTCAAGCTCATACTCAACCAGAAGGGAATGTCTTTTTATTTGATAATATTTAGAGGACAGATACGAAAAACAGAGTTCTCCTTCCCGAAAAAGAAATTGAATAAAGTTTTCGGTTTTCTAATGTGTTGGTTCTGTCCAATTCGAGAAAAAAGGCATTTTTCATTTGAATTCATTGTTCCCAATTGATTAATAACAAGCTGCACGACAATCGGGAATTAATGTGGACACATTTGAAAATTATTATTCGATTATTTTGCAACCAAAATATCTTTTCTCGACACTCCTCAGGTTCAACTAAGTTCCTTTGATAAATCACATCAAGACCGAAAGAAGAAACATGTCACGAAGAGTCAACAGTTCGTTTAATCTTCACAATTGCTTACGTAAAACAAACAAACACATTTACAGCAAAATAGATTTGCAAATCCTGGTAAAGAGACATGCACAGATAGATAGATAGATAGATAGATAGATAAATAGATAGATAGATAGATAGATAGATAGATAGATAGATAGACTGGGGCTATTAAAAGAAATGCAAGAAATCAGTTAACTTATTGCCCTAACAACAACAACAACAACAACAACAACAACAACAACAACAACAACAACAACAACAATAACAACAAGAACAAAAGCAATAACAACAGCAACAAACACATATGGGCGCTCAACACGGACTGATTTAATCCAATTAAGAACAGCCGACAAATTGCCAACAGTTTTATATCGCAGTTACGTAACAAAGGTTTGAAAGAAGAAGAGACAATAAGTCCGAATTGAAAATGTGCAGTTCTGAGCCGCAATAAACTTTTGGCATATGTCGTTCAGACGGTGATTGACCTTAACAGAAAGTTTGATGTAAACGGCTCTCTGGAAGAACATTGGGGAGTGGGTCACCAATTCGAGATTGTTTACTATGGATATCAATGCATTTTTTCGGGATAACCGTTTTGTGGATCATGGGTGAGAAGCTAGAGAACTGTAGATACTGACTACTCCTGTGTTGCTTTGCGGCGACTGAAACGTTGTAGTGTACCATTTACGGGTCTTGTAATTCCTTCCATGATAGGCAAAGCTAATATAGTGGCGATCGAAACACAAACCAACGGAAAATCGTCCACTAACTATAGAATTGGCAATACAATACTCGTGATCAAGTCTCATGGGCAGGGTTTTCATACCTTCATGCCAGGTATTAGTTTGACCTCCC